GAGGCCTGCCCTAGGGAGGTACTCAGATGTGAGCGGGTCCTGACCTCAGGCCTCATCCGTCACAGCTTATCGGTTATAACCAGACGCCTTCCGCCTCCTGGCTCCTGGCACCGCGAAGGGGAAATTTCTCTTATTTTGTATTACCTAAGCTTCCTCCAAAGGACTTAGGGGAGGTTATGTTCCCTCCTGACCTTCTGCGCGTGCACACAGTTCACCCGCATGCTCGGTCACTCGGCGCCCTAACCTGGCACGGGCTGCAGACTGGTCTGCACACCCTCAGTCCACCTTGGGCATGGGGGACACGCCGTCCGATTGCGTCCCTGACAAGTACCCGACTGCAGGGAAAAGTCCGGGAATTCAAAGAGCCCAGCTACAAGGCCACACCTCCCCTCCTGAATACCCCTGCCGATCCACAGCTGCCCACCCATATGCCTTTCTGGCTGGGGTGTATTTTTTTCTGTTGAAATCCCACACTGTCCAGTTGCTATGTAAGCCAGGCAGTCTCCGCAGCCACCAGCACCCAAGGCTGCAGCTCCCCGACTTTCTCTGTGGCTTAGACTAGGGCCCTGAGGGTGATGTGGGCATCTGGGCTAGCACTGCTGAATGTCGGTCTTTGATTCCTAGGGCCTTGTAGGGACCTACAGAGGACAGAGCGTGTATTTCAGTGGTCAGCACCATCTAAAGCAGATGGGCCAGCCTTGGGGAGCGTCGGGAGCAGGCTAGGCCGGTGCTGGAGACCAGGTAGCTCACTGTGAGTTTGGGTCCTGGCTCAGTTAGCCTGGAACAGGCCCAGTGCATGCTCGCTGGGCTGGACGGATGGGGGGAGAGGATTGCTGGAAGCAGGTGGCATGGTGGCGAAGGCTCCGGACTCCCACACGACCCTGGTTGGCGTCTCAGATCTGGCAGCCTGAAAATCATGCAGGTCGCATATGCCTGCATGCCTAAAATCCCAAAAGGAGAATGGAGAAGAAGGAGTCGCAGCATTGCCATCCCCCTGGGCAGCGGTGTCTCACGTTTCCTCTCTGTCTCTGTCTCCAGCGAGCACACGCACCCTACAGCAAAAACAAAATAAAGCAGAACTTATGAAAGGCTCACTAGCATAGGCAAAGACTTTTAAAATGATAATGAATGTTCAAGCAATTGAAATATATACGAATAAAGAGGATATAGTATCAGACCAAAAATGTATTTAACTTTACAGCCATTGGAATAAACAGGTGCCTACAATTTTTTTAAGTGTAACTATGTATCTCTTCCATGAGAGGCAGGCACCCCAGCAGAGTCTTCGTCCATCTCAGCTGGGCCAGATGGGCTTCCGCACACCCAGCTTTTCCTGGGGAAGGTCTGGGACTCAGGCCAGGATGTGTCCTACGTGGACCCAATTGTGCTGCCCTTGTGCCGGCCCCCGGCCCCCAAAGTTGTTTTGTATGGTGTTGAACCTGGCCACAGTTAGGGCAATACAGATGCACCCCACTTTTGTTAAAGTGTGTAGAACACTGAACGGGGGCTTTGGCACACGGACGATGTCTGACTCAGAACTTGAGGTGGGAAAACTGGCTATCCTTGAGGGGGACGCAGGACAGCAGCGGGTAGTGAGCAGCGGTCACAAGCACCAAGCTACCTCCTTAAGTCACTGTACACCTTGCAAGTAAAAATGGGAGAGAACAATCTCACATCTTGTGGGAGGCTGTGCACCAGCAAATATTGCCGGTTTCTCAGCAAACAATTACACGATGCCAAAAGCCATGATTGGCTTCCCTTCAAAACCTCACCTTCAAAACCATACTCTGATTGGCCACTAGAATCCCTCAGATTTGCATATCTGGCACCTCATGATTGGTCCACAAAGCAACCAATCATAACCCACCTTTTACAACCAATTATCACCTTTTACAACCAATCACAGCCCACCAACACGTATAAAACCATGATCCCTGGTCCACAGTCTCCAGATGACCCTGAAGCGCCTGAAGAGCGGCAACACCCTGAAGACTCTGAAGAGCTGTGACACTGCGTTGTCTCCGGACGACCCTGAAGAGCTGTGACACTGTGTTGTCTCCATGCTGCCCACAATAAACGGACGACCCTGAAGAGTTGTAACACTGCGTTGTTCGTCCTGTCTCTCACTTCTTCCCTCAGGAAGCCTGTTCGACCCTCCCCCTGGTCAGGACAACATCTCAGTTGCTGTTATAAAAAAAAAATTTTTTTTTGGAGAGGTTTTTGCTGTAGGGCACGTGCACTCACCAGAAAGACAGAAAGTGAGAAATCACCCCCTGGGGGGATGGCCACGCCGCAATCCTTTCTCCTCTCAGGATCTTGGGCACTCGCGCACACACGCCCGGCGTGGATTTAAGCCACCAGGTCCAGGACTCGAACTGTGGTCAACTACATGGGAGTCCAGTGACATACCCATTATGCTAACTGCTGGTCAACCTCCCCCCCCCAAATTTTTTTTAATGTATTCATTTGTTCTAAATTTTTAGGTCCTTGGGACTGGGACTCAAACTGCGATTGGCCTTGTGGGAGTCCAGCGCCTCAACCACCCTGCCACCTGTTGGCCCGCCATTTGTTATTAAAGATGGTACCTGATAAGAATCCTTGGGCAAAGGGAAAAAAAAGAATTATTGGGCCAGCCAGTGGCATGATGGTTAAGGCTGGATCCTACAGAGTTGACAGTGTGGTCTGAGCCTTGGATGCACATGTGTGTGTGCCCAAAATCCCAAGAGGAGAAGGGTTGCAGCCTGGCCATACCCCCGGGAGGTGCTTCCTCAGTTTCTCTCTCTCTCTTTCGCCCACTGCAATCACATGTGCCCTGTAGCAATTTTTTTTTTTTTTAATTCTTACAAATGAACAATTTTAGCTACTCAGTCTGTGTAAACTAGTAATTCAGGGTGATTTCTCCCCTGTGGGATAGCTCTCTACCTTAACAAAGTAAAATACAATTTTTAAGATATAATTTGTGGATAACTAAAAACCTATTTCCAGTACTTGAGGGACATTTATTTACTTCCACTTCTTTTCATCTTTGTGGTAGGAAGGTGGACAACTGGAAAACCATGCATTGATTTATCCCGCAATTCCAGTTTACTTTAAAAGTTCCCAAGAAAAATGTTATTGAGCTTTTGTTTCTGAAATTGGGGGTGCCTTCCAGGAAGCTGAAATCCTTTCGTGATGTTTGATATTAATAGTACAGTTGGAGTTTCTGAAGTTGTTTATTGGCTGGCTTTGGGGGAGAGAGCACAGCCAGCCACGATCTCACAGCTGCAGATGCAGCATGGAGTCAGCCATCTGGCTTCTGATCTCTACGATTTTCACATCTGCCATCCTTGTCGCCGTTTAAAGTGCTGTGCCACGAAGCACCTCATCAAACCTTAATCAAGTTTATTGTTTTAAAAGATGAAAAGTGGCACTGGCAGCCTAGGAAAATTAGCTCATTTCAATCCTGCACGGCGAAGAGCCTAATTGGGCCCAGAGGTTGGATCATAAGCCATCTTGTAGCAATGGACGTAAAAAACCACACGTGCGTTAAATGGCAGGTGGGTGTTTTGGGTGACGTGCCGTCTGTGAACCCTC